CTCTTTCCTGACAGCACTGAACATTCTTGCACAGGGCATGTGTTCAACAGCACATGGTCTGACTACAACTGCTCAGCATCCCACCGTGAGGCCATGTTCTTACCTACAATGTCTTCATAGGCATTTTCTTCTAAAGTGCTCTTGGATCCAAATTTATGCTGGCTCTCAGTCCCATTTTCAGTTGGGGAGGGAGGGTACAGGGATTGCAGACTTGACGCATCCTCAAACTCAAAGGATTTTCTAAAGTTTAAAAACAATAAACAATTATTAACTAGAATTCAAAATTACTCAAATGCTTAGCTGAGCATTTGTTTGCTAAGAAATATATATAAAATGACCAACAAATAAAATCACACATCATGCTTTAAGGACTAACTTTTAGAAGACCTCAAGTCCTATACTCAGAGCAGTCTTTAGTAAAGCAATCTGTGACACCTCTATGAGGTTAGAAGTATTATCCCCATTATGCAGACAGTAAGTTAGTAGTACAGTTAGGAGCTAAGTAAGTTAGGAGCACAGTCCTCCGATTAGAAAATGCTTTTCTCTTCCCAGAGGCCGCAGAAACATGTGGCCATCTCTCCTCAAGAGAAAGACATTTCTCTGGAAAGTGTTCCTCCACCGGTTGCTCGGGGAGACATAGCCCTTAGTTTGAAAAGACTCACGTCTTGAACCTCCAGATATGCTCCCACATGAAGGTCAGTGTAGAAATGCCAAAGGCAGACTCGTGTGAAAGTCAGCCGTGTCCCTTGCACACCCTGTGTCAAGCACTGGCAGCAAAGGACAAAGCACGGAGGAACTTAAAAGACTTTCTGGAGTGGTCGAGCAGCCCAGGCTGATGGCTGGGGGCCTGAAGGTTCAGGCTGTCTGGCAGGAAGGTGAAGGCCAGCTGGGTCAGATGAACCCCCCACAACTTGTCTCCCACACAGGTACTTGAAGGAGAGGCGATTCACCGCCTCTCACCCATACCTGTCTGTCCCAGCACTGCTGAGCAGCTCTGGTTGACGAAGAGCCCAAGCCCACCCCATACTCCAGTTTACCTACCACTTGTTCTCTGAGGCAGCATCTACACTGATGTTGGGAGGTGCATGGTTTGCATTGCCAGCTGTACAGGGGCTAGCATTCATTTGATTGATTTAGTGCTGAGGATGAAATGGTGTGAAAAATGTGCTCAGGTTGAAGTGTAAATCCCAGGGTGCTGCAAGGCTTGCAGACACTGTGCTGATGCCCATACTTCCCCTCACTGATACCCAAACTAGATTAACAGTAAGTCATCCCACCATCAACCCCTTTCCTCTTCTCCCCAGCTGGAGTGAAACATATGTTGACAGCACATCCATATGGCAGTGGCAGAGTCTCACGAGACACTGCAGTCTGCAATTAGCTCAAGAGTATCCGTCCAGGCAGTACAGTGACTATCATACAAACACTGCATTGGATAAGAGCATTTACTATTTGTCTGCTGGAGCAGATCAGAGGGGTCTCGGCCTCCCTCTCTCTCCTTTTCCTAATCTTAAGAATATCCAGGTCTGTGTTGTGTACATCATGATTGTTGCAGAAACAAGCCATGCATTTCAGATCCAGGCGTGTGTTCCTCCATACCTACTGGCAGTTATAAAAGATGCTCAGGCACTGGAGACATACCTGTGTATGAAATGAAATTTCCAAAGTAGTTAAAACTCCAACTTTTCTAGAGTTCAAGGCAATGCTATGATGTAGTGACACTGCATAAGACCACAGGAATGGTCCTGTGGACCAGCACTCAGCTGTGGTCCATGTGTCCCAAGCCTATCCTGTGACACTGCTCTCTTGCACTGTGTCTGTGCCAGAGGATCTCAAACCACCAGGGAACATCCAGCTCACATCAATCTGAAGTGTGGAAGTTACCGTGGGCACCAAGTCCCCTGAATGCAGACTGGCTCTATGCTAGCAGGCAAATATGAGAGACTTTCTCCGTTTTACTAAAATGTTGAATTAGCCACCACAAGAAAACCAGTGTTTTCAGCCAAAATACTAAAATAAATATCCACAGTTCATTCTCATGACATTCCAGTGAGTGCAAACTACACGTATGTTCAATTGGAAATACACAGCTACAAGCTGTAGACATAATGAATTATGTCTGTTCTCAAAAAGAGAACAGTTTAGAGACTGAGATTTCAGTAACCAGAATTAACAAAATACTGCCGTTCTTAGATGGCTGGCACGATCTTGAGCACTTTGTAAATGCTAGAATTCTCCTTACTCTAACTAAAGGAAGGACAGTAGCAAAGACAATAAAGTTAAGATTTTATAAAGGACTTTTACCCAGCCTTCAAATCAGGCAGCAAACCTGTGATTTTAGGAGGTTGATGTAAACTTGCTTAGATCATCATTAATCAGAAGTAAGCCCAGAGAAATCACTAAACTACAGTAGGGTAAAAGCTGTTACAAGCAAATAGAAACCTATCCTGTACAACATCAAACTGATTTGCAAGAAACATCAGGCACACATGGTAACACTGTCAACCCTATCACTTAAACTGCACCAATCACAACTTAAATTGACCAATATAATTTCTGTTTTGGGCTTGTACCTACTACCCCCACCCAGGACTGAGACTCTTGCTGGCCCGTGCTGTTGTCTAACTCTGCTCTGACAGGAGGCTGAACCTGCAGAACAGCAGGTTCAAGAATGAATTGCATCTCTTCTTGAGAGAAGTTTCAAAACTTCATCTCAAAAACTCAATGCAACAAGGTAGTGCAGTTCTTGGAGGATTTGTACAGTCTCAGACTCAGTGTGTGTATTCGGATGTTGTCTTTATTCACTTAGCTGCAAGAAACATAGTGATTCTCTGCAAGAATTATCTCCTGTTATTCATTCCTCTCCAACAGCCACCTCACAGACTATTTTACCACTTGTCCCTTAATTTTCCAATAAAGGCTATCATTTGTAGCAGAACATTTAAAAGTTATTGTTTGTCTTCTGTACATTGGAAATGCTGTGCTGAGCAAAATGAGGTCAGCTCTATTTCACAAATTCTTGTTAAAAACTAGATTTACTTCCTCTAGCTGAGGTCATTGCCAGAAGTCAAAGATAAGCACCACTAATCAGAGCTCGGCTTTCCACATTCCCCCCTGTCCCCCTCCCACACATCAGCAGAGCCGTTTGATCCATTTCAGAAGCAGGTGTCTCTTCAAAGTACAGAGCAGGATCGGGAGACTTCTCTTCCCCTTTTCCTGCCTTGGCACACTTCAGGTCAGGTTGTGCTGACATTAACTTTTAATTAATTGAGCCAACATCAAGCACCAGATACTGAATTGATAGTGTGCATTCGAGATGTCATGCAGCAGTTACTTGCAAATGTAGCCATGTACGCTGCTCATCATTAACTAAGGAAGGACATAAAGGCCTTTCTGTGCTAAAACATAGTTTCCTCAGCATTAATCCTCTACAGCTATTGACAGTAACTTAGGACAACATTTCTAAGCACTAAATTAAATAAAATTACCAAAATGGCATAAAACTGACACAACTGCTGTGGTAAGAAGCTTTGGAAACACTTTGCTTTGGTTTTGCTGTGGTAACAAGCTTTGGATTCCTCTGCAGGTGTGTCTTGCAGCGAACAGGCAGACAGGACTATGACAGATCAGCTATGGTCCCGCTAAAGGGGTACAATGAAGTGGTGCTCCATTAAAAATGTCAAGCAAGGGCATTTGTGCCAAAATGAATGAGATGACCTTTAGCACATAAGACCTAGAGCCTTTTGCAGGGAGCAAAGAATGCAGATTGGAGAACTCCAAAGCTGCAGCCACATTAGGATACTGTGCCAGCGCATCCCATCAGTGGAAAAAATCCCACGGAAAAAATACTTGTCTTGCATGCAATTCCTAGCATTTCCCAGATCAAAAGCATTGCATTAGAGGGAGAATTTAAAATATTGGTACTAAAAAAATACAGCACATTTATGTAGTTGAACATCGAGCACAAGACATTTCCTTGAATTTTACCTATTCTGGGATTTTCTGTGAAAGCGCGACTCTTTCTTCTGCCTTCTGGTCACAGGGGGTGCAGGGGTGGACGGGAGAGGAGGAGGAGCAGGAGGTGTAGGAGATGGAGGTAGGCCATTGCTTGGTTTACTTTTGTGGGTTTTGTCTGCTTCATATTCAAAGGTGCGTTTGGGCTTGGGGACAGGATTCACTGCAGTGTTCGCTGGGCTTTCGAGGAGTAGTTTAGAGGCAGCTGAGTTTGCAGTAACCCCCTGCTTTGTCTTATTGCTTTTCTCAGCCTCAGTAGGTGTTTCTGGATCACTCCCCAAAATAACGCTTCCTCCTTTGCTGTCACTTAGGGTTTCACTCAGTCCCTCCACAGTACTCAGAGTCACAGACTTTTTCCTCCCCTTGTCAACACTGTAACAGCTACTTGGTAGCTGGGGGAGGCCTCTGCCAGGCTGCTCTTTCAGTGCCTGCTCGATCTTCTGTATTCTGTTGAGCACAGCAGAGGACTCTTTCCGTACATGGCCCTTGAGGAAAGCAGCAGAAGGAGGCTCGCTCCTGCCTGGTCTCTTTTCAAACCGATGGCAGGAATCCCTGTCCAGCAGTTCCTCCTCCTCCGTTTCTGGGTAAGAGCACTCGGAAAATGTTCGGCTCATTCTTCTGAGTCCTTTGAAATCGAATGTCTTCTCGCTGCAGGGAGAGGTCAGCACACTGGGGCAGCTCTCACTGCCTGACCTCTCCCCAGCATCCCTCTTGTCCACACATGCACCCATCCTGGGGGACAGCTCCCGGCGGCACTCCCATTCTGTGATCTTCTTCCTGATGTCCAGCGCCTGGGAGCGGACACTCGTCCGGCTGAGCGAAAGGTTCCTCAAGTTGGTGGCAGCGCCCAAGGACAGAGCGCTCCGGGTGAGTGGATGGCTCCCTAATGCATCCCCATCTTGAGACTCCTTTGGACTCTCCTTTTGGTCCTCAGCCTTGAACACAGACAGCCTTTTGTCCAATGCGCCCACACTAATGGCTTTGAGAGGGTGGCTGGGGGTGTCGGTGTCTGATGGGCTTGTGGAGGTGCTTCGCAGTGCAGATGTGCGGCTGCTCCAGTCCTTGAGGCGCAGTCTGGAGCTGGAGACTTTGGTGAGCCGAGTAGAGCGGCAAGAGTCCTCGCTATCGCTGAGAGGGTACGCTGGGCTTCTTCGCAGGGACAAAAGAGGCGGTGGAGAGACTGAGTGACACCTAGAAGTAGAAAGAAATAAAAAATCAAGTCCTTGGGGAAACTAGAGTTATTTGCCAAATTTCTTGTGGCTGCAGAGAAAGCAGAGGATGTTTGCGCACTGCAAAACTACCCCAAAGCATCACTAAGACACCAAATACCATTCAGCCACAGAGTTGGGAGTGGGGCAGTGTCAGCAGGTCATAAGCTGATGAGCAGAGCATTCAGCATGTCCAAAGCCAGTGTCCTCTGCTCTGTTTGACCCCCAGCTTTTCCAGGTTTCCTCAGTTTAAAGACAACTGAGATTCTCCTAGCAACCCATTGCCTTGAATGCATCCATCACCTCCAGCAGAACAGCTTCCTGGCCTCCAGATTAAGGAGTCCCTCTGCAGGAAAAGGGGATTGTCAGGGAGAAGATTGCCACTGCAACAAAAGTGGGAAAGACTGACCAAGAAGGAGCACAGCTTACTTACTAGCTGCAGCGAGAAAACCGATTTAAAAAAATGTTTTTTCATTCATAATATCTGAAGCGAAATAGCTCCATAATCAGCCACTGCAGTATTTTAAGCACAGCATTTCAAATCCATGTATGTGTGTACGTAGCTGTATATAGTAAACTAAATAAAATGGCAAAAGGAAGACCTGTTTAGTTTTTGGTCTGATGGGGCCAACAGATTGGATTCTCCTTATCAAAGAGAACAGAAGTATTTTCTTATGGAAAGAATATTGCAGACTGAAAAAAACATATTAATCTGCCCACAGTATGAGTTGAAGAATATAAACTGTACAGAAAGGTCTCACTGTTACCCTGGGGAAAAACCCTCAAAACAAATTTTTGCCATGGTTTGCAAAATCAGCCATTCTCACTGGGGTTATGCACATTGTTGCAAAGACTTTTAAGAACAAAATACAAAAGGAAATTTAACAACATATTAATCAGCTGGCACATCACTGATGAGTCGGCAAGAAGAAAATTAAGCCAAAACCGTGGCAAAAAAGGGGGGTTTACTGCTCTGCCACAATACGTACATAGAAACCATAGCAGTCTGTGACTGCTCTGTCATTTTGCCCTAGCAACCTTTCTGTTCCAAACAGTACAGAAAAAAGACCCAAAAGTAACACTTTGCACACACAGTTAAGTTTCTGTTCTGTGAAGATTGTGGACAACAAGTTGGTTTTTTATAAACTGTCCTGTACACACAAAATCCAAATGAAAGAACTGCTTGACCAAAAGGAATCAAGGCAGCAAATGTCTCCATCATAGCAAACAGATAAAAGATTCAGAAGACCCCTGCTACTACACAGTATTCTTCCCAGCAGCCAGCCAACACAGGCTGGTGCCAAGTTCTGTGCATTAATCCAAAAATCCAGAGCACTGAGGCAATTTCTGAAGAATTTACTTTGACACAAGAGATATTTTCTTCTCCTTCAAACACATCCCAAAACCAAATTATTAGATTTCACTCCAGTTTCCTACGGCAGATACTTTGCAAGCAAAGCTCGGAAGTGTCACAAAGGAGAACAGCTCTAGTCAGAAAAGGACAATGATCAATTTATCACAAAAGAGCTTATCTCTTCTTCAAGATCCTGTGAAAATCAAGCCCTTTTGGCACAGAAGCTTCACTGCTTGATGACTTCTGCTTCTTCATAATTTTGAAAAGTAAACATGCCCATAGGAAATGACAGATCTCATGCCCAAGACCGTGGCAAATACTCCACCAACAACAGCTTAAGGCCTCCTTGTTTCAGGACAGAAAGGATGCATATCAGAATACACTCTTTTCATCCTAGAAGTGAAATTTCCTGCTATTCCATACAGCTGCGGACAGGTATCTAGAGGGAGCTCAGAAGATCAAAAGCAGGTGACAGGAAATGAGTTCTTGCAGCATGGAGATTGTGGTGAATTACACAGAATCATCTTCACCTATGTACCTTTACAGCGCCTGAAGGATGCAACCTAAACCTGTCTCCTCAGACTTGGTGGAGTACCCTGATTCTTCATTATTCCTCCTGTCTATCTCATCTTGATCTCTGCAGTTTAATACCACAAAATCAAAATTTTCTATTACTTTTAACACACCTTTAGCTTAGACTTCAGATTATGTTCTCCCAATTCCTGCATGTCATGCAGGCCTGCTCCAGAGCTGCACTGATACTTTTCTCAATGAACCAATTTCACCTGGCAGAAATGCATTTTACTTATAAAGGTCACAGCCTCAGCTGCAGCCTTTGAAGCTGCATGTTGGCTAAATCCACTATCAGGATTCACCTAGGGGACAGGGACAGACTCTGCAAAGAGGCTATGCAGAATGCCTCAGCATGGTAAAACTTATTTATTAGGTTCCAAATTATAATCTGTATTGACAATAGCAGGAGTGAAATACAAAATGACTGAGTGAAGTCAGTTAGGGGACAGCAGAGGTGAAGGACATGCTGACAATCCTCTCTCTGCCTTTGGCTTACTATATGGAAAATACTGTAGGCATAGTCCCTCAACTCTTTACGCTCCAAGAAGTATCTTTTCAGTTGTTTTTACTGCCAGGAAAAGGTTTGTTGACTCATCAGGAGAGGAGGAAAAGGGGAAAGGCACAATTTGCATAACCTGCAGAAATTGCCCAACATTTCTTCTTAGAGATAAGAGTCATTCTTTTAAATTCCAGGATCCTGGTAAGGTAACTGCACTTAAGGCTTGATCTTTAAGCCCCTGAATTCAGTTATAAAAGTCTCACTCACTCCCCACTCTACAAGACTGAGGCTACATAGCAACAGGCCCTCTGGAGGTGTATGTGGTTAGGGATACCTCAGTTAAGAAAAAGGTTCTGGTTTACATTGCCTTATACTGTAAACTAAAGTAATCCAGCTAGAAGGACTATAGGACTAATTAAACAAGAAAGACAAGCAAAGCTTTGTCTGCATGGATTCAGGCACGTGTTCTCTAAAGGATAGTGGCAAGTAACAGAATGAAAAAAGCAGCAGTACAAAGGCCAAGAGTGGATAATAAAATGGTCCTCCCCCAAGAAACCCACTTCCATTACAAGAATATTCTCTTGAAGGCACAATAGAGTTCCACCAACTTTAAAACTGGTATTACTGGACTGAGATGAATAATTAAATAACTTGCAATCTTCCATACAAAGCTTGTAAATAAGAGCATTTTTTATTGAAGTTTTCTACATAAACAATGATACATGCAACACCTTACAAAGCATATCATTACATACACCTTCAAATATTTACACATAAACAGCATAAATAAAAATTATGGAATCAAACAGATTTCTTCATAAGTTCACTTGAACATAATCTTCTTTCTGGGCAATGACATCTCATTGAGAATATCAGCATTTCACAAATCACATTGCAATAAATTGCTCCGATTTCCTATTTGATAAAGGTATTCTTCCAACATGCAGCCTTAGGTGTGCAGCTCTCAAACCACTGGCGAGTCACCAGTGAATGGCAGTCTCAAAGGCAAATCACTTGCCAGGCAGCCCACATTGTCTTGTAAACAGGTCACAGACCCTGAAACTGCCTTTCTGGTGGGGCTCCTTGCTGCACAGTGAGGAAAGCAGACAGAACCTGAGACGTAATTTCCAGCCCTCTAGACCTTGCTTAGCTTTGCTGTTGTGAGCTAATCCCAGAGAAACCAGCAGAATTAGCCACAGTAGGAGAAAACTGATAATACTGTAGAATCAGAATAGTTTGGGTTGGGGGTGGCCTTTAAAAATCATCTAGCCCAACCCCCCTGCCATGGGCAGGGACATGAGTGACACTCATTAGGATTTTGAACTCTAGATAAAATTGAATTTAAATTCTGATTCAGTCTCTTCTCTCCAGTTTCTCTTTTTCTCACCCAAACATAGGAAAAAACCCTTTAATATACTAAAACTGCAAAGCTCCAGGCTCACTGTCAAATAAAGGTATGGATTCCATGGACCAATGTATGTATTCATACTGTTTTCTCTAATGAAGGCTAGTTTTGGTGAATAGAGTTAAATCCAGATGGCAGCCAGTCACAAGCGGTGTTCCCCAGGGCTTGGTTTTGGGGCCAGTCCTGTTTAACATCTTTATCAATGATCTGGATGAGAGGATTGAGTGCTCCCTCAGTCAGATTGTAGATGACACTAAGTTGGGAGGGAGTGTTGATCTGCTGAGGGTAGGAAGGCTCTGCAGAGGGACCTGGATAGGCTGAATCCATGGGCTGAGGCCAATTGGATGAGCTTAACAAGGCCAAGTGCCGGGTCGCACTAACCCCATGGGTGCTACAGGCTTGGGGACGAGTGGCTGGAGCTGCCAGGCAGAAAAGGACCTGGGGGTGTTGGTGGACAGCAGGATGTGAGCCAGTGGTGTGCTCAGATGGCCAAGAAGCCCAAGAGCATCCTGGCTTATATCAGAAATAGTGTGACCAGCAGGAGGAGGGAAGTGATCGTGCCCCTGTACTCAGCACTGGTGAGGTTGCACCTCATAGTTTTACCTTGGATAACAACAATGTGCATTTATTGCACAGCTTGTATCCATGACCCACACACTTTTTATAAACACTGATAACAATATTAAATTGCATTTCAGACCAGGGATTAAAGGCAACTGGAAGGTGGATAAGTGACTTGCCTTGAAAGAGTTACAGGACCCCTAACTCCCACTGCCCTGACCTCAGAGCACAGATCATCCTGTGCTGAGGACACACAAGTTGGCAGAAGCTGCTCAGGGATCTTTCGGTTTTAGAAATCCTGTCTGCTCTGCTCAGACCAACACTTATAAAATAATAAGACAGTTTTTGGCTCTCTGATCTGGGGAACTTCCCACTTGAACATGCTCATGCTTGGGACCCCATTTACTGAAAAAAGAGCAAGCAACGTGTTGACAAAAAGGTACTGGGTCTTTCCAGGCTCCTGTTGATGAGATTGAGTCATTTCACAGTAACACTGATGTCTGCTGAGCTCACACCAAGTCACACAGCGCTAGTTTTATCCCTCAGGACTTTCTTCCTTCTTTTGCTAGGACTATACTGCTTTCTTAGTAT